CAAAACGTCTTCTTCTAACACTGATTTCGAAAAAGTCGCCAAAGGATCCTTTCTTGATGGCTTGACAGCAGGGTATATCTAGAAATCGAATAATTTATCAAAAAGAAACTGAGAATACCGTGAAACGAGTATTTTACGCCAAGCTCCTCTACGACTGAAGTCCATTATGTTGAGAATTAAACTTGAATTAAAATAACTTTCTTAGAATTCACTCAGTTTATTATTCTTAAGAAATGAATTATAGTCCCCCTAGAATGCAGCAATAATGTATGAAAGGTGTAGTAAAAGCGAGAAGATGGATACCCTCTGAGTGGAAAAATAGCCACTGCTTTCAGCATGACAGTCTTCCTTGACAATCTGCATCGGACTCTAGAATGGATAAGGCCTAATGAGTCTCGTGATATATATAATGAAGATAATTTATACCACAATGTCATACCTGTGCGGAAACAACATCCTCGCTATTGATGATGTCAGTCGTACTTCTACACATCTAACAAAATTCTGCATGCAACTAGGAAATGAATGAAACAATTCAGTAAAATACACCTCTCGTGTGACTCTATTCTCCAAAGTAGCGGTCCTCAAAACCTGCTTTGAATTGCGCTCCGGAAGAGGCAACCCCTTTGTTCCATCCTCTATAGCTTGTAAATCCTCTGCAAAGCAAAGTTAGGAATCACACAAGGGAATTTACTGAACTTATACCTGGTCGAGCCATTCCCTCTGTAGCAGTATCAGGATTTCGCTCGCGCCACTTCTTTATGTCCTGCTCAATCTTTTCCAATCTGTCGGGGTTAATCATCCAAAGACAAGATTTGCGAGTTTGCTGGGCTAACGAAATTTCTTCGTCAACCTCAAAAAAGATATTCAACATTTTGGCCAAACAAGGGATAACCACGTAACCAACCTCAACTTTACAGAAACATTTGTTTAGTGAAAGGTTGTGCCGAACAGAGTTTTTCCAACCTGACGGAGCTGTACGAAAGTACGGGAAATGTTCGCTGAAATCATCATGTAGGATGTGCCTGTTCAAGCGTGTGAGGTGAAACTGATTGCCAATAATAATCACATGATTTTGTATTTGAACAGCTCACTACAAAAAAAAACTACACACTTCTAACAAAAAGCTCATCTTTCTATAATGTCCAAAGGATAGAAAGACACAAACAAAATGCAAAAATTGTCTTTCCTAATCTTATGCACCAAGTGCTAGCGTAATACTACAGACGCCAGATCAGGTAACCTGTTAGTGAAACAAAATTTTGAATGTGGAAAGAATAACAACTGAGCATAAAAAGGAAAAGACAAGTCTCGCAAAAACCCTTATACAAAAAAAGAGAAAGCTGAATAGTAATCTGATGTCATAAAATTACGAACGAAATATGTACGAAATGGTCCACTAAGGAATTCTCACGCAGAAAAAAGGCTAAGAAACTTACAGCATAAAAGCATAAATTTCCGAAACAGTCAGCTGTCCTGTTTCACTATTTTTGAGAGCTAACGCTATCAGATTCGAGTATGACCATCCAGGCTTTGGATACGGACTGACAACAGGCAGATTCTAAAGCAAATTGCAATGAATGATGTTGTAAGATGAATGAACAAAAGAAAACTCGCTCTCTCTTTTTTCACTACCAAACGCGGTCTTGACATTAAGTCGACGCTGATGTCTTTTGCAAATTTTGACACATCAACCTGTAATAATCAGATCTATTATTTGAGCGCAGTATGCGCTGCACTGGCTCATTGTTCGGCTCTCACATACCACCGTAGCGCATGTGCGTTCTCATAGAATTTGAAGCCTTAAAGCAAATGTCTTTAGGCATTCCTAGTAGAATAAGCTTTGGCTGCAATCACGCTCTATGGCTAGCATCCTCATGAATAAAATTTCGATTTCTTAAAGAGTTTTTGTCCCATTGCCACCAAAATTACCTATCTCCTTAAAAGGCAGAGAAACAACACACCCTTTCAACCCATTCATCGAAATCATCGCAGTTCTCCTCAATAGCGCCATAATGTGTAATATCCTCGTCCACCCAACGCTTATCGGCGCCTATCCGATTCACAGTACTAGGAAGGATTAATAAGTAACAAAAACATTGCACAATCAAATATCGAAAATACCTTGGCCTAGTGATGGAAGCTGTGATTCCATGCTGTGTTCCAGTCTTTACTGAAAGCGACGTATCGCAATGCTTCAAGCTAGAACGATGCCTAGAATTTGTAGTGCACTGCATGTACTGGGAATGCTCCTGGGTTTGCACTGTCCAGCTGTTGCCTGAACACATAAATCTAGCTGGGAAGGCGAGAACTAATAAATAGGTTCACACCTCGAAGAATACTGCTCGCAAATGGAGCAGGGCACAATTTTACAGGAAATTCTGCTCGAATCTGGTTAGATGTAGAAGCTTGCAGACAGGATGATTCGCGAAGGTCACGTAATTTTGGAGCACTCAAAACGTTCGTTAACTCCGAGTAAGTAGTTGTTGCTCTTAATTAATTCACATTAACTAAGACGCAGATCTATACTTTTAGAATTTATTCGTTTATACATGTGAAGGACGCTGTCGTAAATGTTCATAGGCTAGATACATAGAGCCACGGCTCTGGTCACCTTCACTAATGAGCGAAGAAAGAGTAAGAAAGAGGAGGACCCTCACCTAGGGGCAGGGCGCCAGACCCTGACTTTTCTACACACTAGAAGTTTCAAAATCGACTATAAGACCAATAGGGGGGGGGGGGGGGGGGGGGGGGGGGGGGGGGGGGG